CATAGATCAAGAAACATTCTGGGTTATAGGATGGCCCAGGAAGAGAGTTGTCCACACTGACCATACAAACCTTTCGTTATCAGAGCCACTATTGTTTTATTCACTCTGTTGGGAAGGTGGAGTTTTGGGCATCACCACTGTGAAATATTCTTCTCTATTCCAGTACTGTATCTGCCTAACAGTTTTAATCTATCTTCAATTTTATTTTTATGGTGTTTTTTAACAGCAAAATGGTAATAATGGTAATGAAGATGAAAATAAAAAGATTTATTAAATCAGATACAAAAGTAGACTAAAATGTTAATAAACAAATATTCCTATTGGTTAATAATAGATTGAGTTACCTTCAACAATATTATTATATTTTATGTTTGGGGATTAAATGTGTTTCAGAAATTGCTTATTGTGTCCCACTGTGTCTAAGTAGAATTGTGCAATACCAATGTTACTGTCTCCCACTGTACATAATGTAGGACAGTTCTTTAATTGTAGCAAAAAATCAATGTCATAAACTTAATGTGCATTTACATAGAACCCTCTCAATTTCAATCATATTTATGGAAATGAAAGAATCTATGATTTTATCTGTGTTTCGTTTTCTAGTGATCAAGCTCTAACTGTGAAGTTTTCTAATGAAGTAGAAACCACATGTTAGTCAATGGAAACTGGCAAAGAGAAGATGCTTAGTACGTACATATTTTGAACAGTCATCCATTTAACAAATATTCCCTGAGTGCCTATTTCATCTAGAACTGTACTAGTTATTATGAATATAAAGACAGTATATATTTCTCACCCACAACACTTATTCTTTGGTGAAAGGTCATCTCAGGTCAAATAAATGACATTTTGTATAAACCTCTTTTTATCTTGGATTTTATCTTGAAGATTACCCAGATCTTCATAGTGAGGATGTAATTCTTTTAACTGTGATTATTGACCAAGTCTGTGCATTTACTGGTGCCTGAAGAGCCTCCTCATAGGAATCTACTCTAATTCCCAAGAGTAGAAAAGACCCTCTTTATAGGCTGTCTGACAACTAGGCTCTTAATGGGCCAAGAGAAGGTCAAGTAGGCTGCCACCTTTGATTTATAGGAACTGGCTATAACCTGCAATAAAATGGTTCAGATGAGGAGGGCTGTGACTCCACTGCAACACCCCTTCAGGATTACACAATGAAGGTAGTGGCAGCACGGTTTGTAACCACGCTGGTATTTTTGAATGACCTGTATGCATTTTGCAACTCCATATGGACCAGCCAGAGAATTTACAATTATCTAAGCTTGATATCCTCTAGAGGGATACATCCAAATTCTCAGCATTTTTTAGTTTACCGAATTCATCCCATACTCATAAGCATTAAAAAAGTGTGTGACCAAAAATTATATCCATCCTCTTAAGAGATTTAACTCATAACTACCTGGGAATGCATTGTCTGCTCTATTGACCTTACTGTGAGCCATGAGTGATAAAATGGCTTTATATTTATGCAACATTTTTAAGTGATATGGTATTGATTAAAATATTGTTTAACTTGTAATTCCTATGTAGGTAAGAACCTTCCCCTTTCGAATAGCGAAGAGTCAAGTAATTACAAATGTCATTCATCTAGGAAACAGGAGTTCCTCTCAGGCCAAAAACTGGAACTGAGAAGAAAACCCTAGGTTAGATACTACATGAGAAATCTGCATCTCTTGTTCTTAATAACAGAGGCAGGAAATGTCTAGAGAGGACTCCTGAGTAGTGGTGTCAGGATGGTTTCTTTCTCACGGAAGCTTATGGAAGCTGGGGAGGAAGAAACACCAACAAATGTCACATTACATTGTGTCAACTCCTTGAATTAGAAGCAAGATACCTCAGGTAGGAGGTGGAATAAGATAATAAGAATAAGAAAGGATTTCAGCCATAAACCAAGTAGCTCCACACATTATATGTCTAGTTGTGCTTAAGATTTGTGACATATTAATTTCACTTTAATATTTTTCTTCTTTCTCAGTATCTAATATCAAGCTGAGATAAGAATGAACCAAAAGAGGCTGATATTCAGCAGGCTTTCACCAAAGCACTAAAAGATGCTCAAGGCCCCTTTGGGAAGCGGCATGAGAGGAGCAGCCATAAAAGTGGGACAACCTCGTAGGAAAGGGGAACTTGGGCTTATAGAGTTGAGACTAAGTTACACACTCATTCCCACTGGGAGGTCCTCACAGAGATAAGTCTTCATACATCTGGGTTTTATGCTTGTTTGATTTTTAGATGATTAGAGATAGAAATGTACATAAACATAGAGACATAAATTGTGTGATCGATTTGACCAGGCACTTTCAAATCTCAGAATTTATTATGAGGATTCATGAAAGAATATATAAGTATAAAATTTAATCACTGAAGCATTATATTGTACAAACCTAATAACATAATAAGTAAATTAAAATATTTGTATTCAAAGAAATAGTATGAAGCTTGGGGCTGGCCCCGTGGCCGAGTGATTAAGTTCACGCGCTCTGCTGCAGGCGGCCCAGTGTTTCGTTGGTTCGAATCCTGGGCACGGACATGGCACTGCTCATCAAACCACGCTGAGGCAGCGTCACACATGCTACAACTAGAAGGACCCACAACGAAGAATATACAACTATGTACTGGGGGGCTTTGGGGAGAAAAAGGAAAAATAAAATCTTTAAAAAAAAAAAAAAGAAATAGTATGAAGCTGTTCAAAGTATGTTGCAGAGAAATATTTTGACGTGGAAAATTATTCCTAATATGTTTCTAAATGAAATAAATAGGTAAACAGGGAACACTGTTTGATATACTTTTTTAATTCATAATAGACATGAAAATAGATTTACAGTAAAAAGGTATTACTATACATACAAATTATTAACAATAATCATCTGTGATTGTATGTTTCAGGGCATCTTTAGGTTTTTAAACAGAGTTTCATAATGTTTTTCTAAGAAGATTTTGAAACTTGATGTCAGAAGCTCATTCAAGGTAGGCACCACATTATTCACACAATGAACCACACCCTTAAAACTTGAATCTCTAAATTTAAAAGGTTCAAGAGTCTGTAATTTTCTAAACAGGAATAAAAACAAGAAAATAATATAAACTTGATAATAAGGTGCTAGTTACAAAAATACATTGTGCCTGAGAAGAAACTACTGAATAATATCAAGACCACTTTCTTCAATGCTCATGTTGATTTAGTGAAATAGATTTGGCTCCATACAGGAAGTCAGTTAAGATACGTTAGATTTTCAGAAGTAATTACACAAATTTATTTTTTCTATAACAACGTGTATACCTTCCCAAATTAGATGCTCTTCGTTTCAAAGACGACATTAGAAATTTGGCAAAAATCATGGTAAAAATATAAACTAGTAAAATTCAGATATCAGTTTATGTGATTCTTCATTAAAAGTAATCAGACTTGCCGCTGCCCCATGGCCGAGTGGTTAAGTTCGCACGCTCCACTTCGGCAGCCCAGGGTTTTGCTGGTTCAGATCCCAGGCAAAGACATGGCATGGCTCACTAGGCCATGCTGAGGAGACTTCCTACGTAGCACAACCAGAGGCACTTATAACTAGAATATACAACTATGTACTGGGGGGCTTTGGGGAGAAGAAGGGAAAAAAACCAAAAAGGATCAGCAACAGATGTTAGCTCAGGTGACAATCTTTAAAAAAAAAAGTAATCAGACTTTTTCTAGAAATGGCTGCGTCCATAACTGAAGTGGACAATGTACAAGAAGAGCTTGAAACATCTTATTATATCAGAAGTAAGGAAGTACTCAAAAATTATGGGAACATGTATAACAAGACAAAGGAGTAAGCTTGGAGGATTCATAAAGAGGACAATTAAGCATGTAATGATGATAAATAATTGTAATCTCTTGACAAAAAAAATTCATGAGTCAATATTGATAAATGAGAGGAAGATGATAGATACAGATACATAGAGATAAATAGATGATTGGTAGATAGAGCCTTTCCTCATACTGAAATTGACACTGAATAGATATAAAAGCAATGAAGAAGTTAGAACCACATTGTGCAATAACAATTACCAGTAATTGAGTGAAGCAAGATAATCAATGGATGCTGAAATTAGTGGCCAAAAGCTTTATGAGGAACAGAATATTTATATATTAATTTTAATGGGTGCTCCAGAAATAACATTAGGAAAAGAATAATGATTTTATAATGGAGAAACTTGGAGGCACTATCTTCAACAAATTTTGCGGGTTAGTGTCACCAATAATGGGACAAATGAACATTATGCCCCAGCTCATGGAATACACTGAGGAAGATACTTGTTTTTCCTGCATAAAGTGAATAATACAAATGAAAAATGAGGAACTTTTTAAAATCCCAATTTGAAGAACATTTCACTACAGAACTGCTCTATACTCTTCAAAAAATCAGTGTCATAAAAGGCAAAGAAATGTTGAGTAACTGTTCCAGATGAAAGGAGACTGAAGATAAGTGACTTTAAATATCATATGTTTTCTTGGCTTGGGTTCTGGATTGGGGGGGACTGGAGAAAGAATACCATAGAGTAAAGAATTATCAGGACTATATTGCCTGATTTCCATAATAATATTGTGGCTAGGTTAGTGAATGTCTTTGTTCTTGGTGAAAAAATGAGGAATTTCGGGGTAAATGGGCATCATGTCTACACTTTAATCTCAAATGGTTCTGGAAAAATTACATATGTATAGAAAAAAGGGAATGATAAGACAGATATGAAAGAAATATTAAAATTTGTTCAATCGCGGAGAAAGTATATGGGAGCTCTTTGCATAATTCTTGACCCTTTTCTGTAAGATTAAAATTATTTCATATTAAAACTTAAAAGGATGTTGGTAACCAATTTTGGGGAATAAAGGACAAGGATACAAGTAGGGACAAGGATACAACCTTCCTCTGAGCTCATTGTGAGATAACTCCAATTTATCTTGATTCTCCAGCTCTGACCTTTTATCACATTTCAGTCCTTGACAAACTGTCATTAGGGAATGGGAAGCAACCAGTCATGGGTCACAGAGTTCGTCTTGGTGGGATTCCAGCTCAGGGCAGACGTGGAAGTGCTCCTCCTCTGGGTCTTCTCCCTGTTCTACATCTTCAGTCTGTTGGCAAATGGCGTGATCTTGGGACTCATCTGTCTGGACCCGAGTCTACACACCCCCATGTACTTCTTCCTTTCACACCTGGCCATCATTGATATCTCTTATGCTTCCACTAATGTGCCCAAGATGTTGGCAAACTTAGTGAGCCAGAATAGAACCATATCTGTTGTTCCCTGCATTATGCAGACATTTTTGTATTGGGGTTTTGCTGCTACAGAATGCCTGATTTTGGTGGCGATGTCCTATGATAGGTTTGTGGCGATCTGCCACCCCCTCCACTACACTGTCATCATGAACTGGAGAGTGTGCATGGTCCTGGCTGTCACTTCCTGGTCCTGTGGATTTATTCAGTCTCTGGTACATGCAATTCTCCTCCTAAGGTTGCCCTTCAGTGGGCCCCGGGAAGTGAACCACCTCTTCTGTGAAATTCTGTCTGTCCTCAAGCTGGCCTGTGCTGACACCTGGATAAACCAAGTGGTTATCTTTGCTACCTGTGTGTTCGTCTTAGTTGGGCCTCTCTGCTCAATGCTAGTCTCCTACATGCGCATCCTCTGGGCTGTCCTAAAGATCCAGTCAAAGGAAGGCCGCACAAAGGCCTTCTCCACCTGCCTCTCCCACCTCTGTGTGGTCGGACTCTTCTTTGGCATCGCCATGGTGGTTTATATGGTCCCAGAATCCAATCAACGAGAAGAGCAGGAGAAAATACTGTCCCTGTTTCACAGTCTGTTTAACCCCATGCTGAACCCCCTCATCTACAGCCTGAGGAATGCTCAGGTGAAGGGCGCCTTGTATCGAGCACTGCAGAAGAAGAGGCCCACGTGAAGGGTAGAGAGAATGTTGTTTGATCAGGGATTTCCTTTTAAAATATGTGATTTGCTAATGCAAAAACTTAAAAAAAAATTCCCAAATAGAAGTTGATATAAAAATGGTAATTGCCCAAATTCTAACTCTCAAAATAAATCAAATTTCCATGGAAAAGCATATCTTCTAAACTTTACAGACCATGTAAGAAGATGAGAAGCTAAATTATCAGCATCCTTAATCTTTCTTTTAAGAAATATTGAATTGTCTTTATTTTTTAAGGCCAGGAATATTAACATACGGAGAAAATTTAAATATAAGCAAATGACATCAATGCCTTTCTCTGGCTTATGTATTTAGTCATCTGTGACTTCTTCTTACCTTGTGGTAGCTGGAAATAGTACAGTAAAATTAGTACCATAAGAGAGAAATTCCAAAGTAGACCTGAAATTTCAATGTAGAACATATTACAGAGTTCTATGAATCTACCTCCCCAGTTGTGAGGTCAGTGAAATAAGAGTTTAAAGAAACTCTAGATTACTTGGTCCAGTAATTGAGTAGTAAAGGAAAAAAATTAGGGAAAGCTTTAGTCCAACAAGAAGCTATATCAAAAATCCTAAATTATGTTAAAGTTTTAGGATTTGGTCAAAAGGAATCCATTAGTAAATATTTAAATGGTTCTAGAGGTAAGGATTTTGAGCATTGCTGAAACATTACATTTATTTTGGGGTTATGATAAAATCTAATTAGGCAAGATTTTATCCTGTTGAAGTTCTTGAAGATTTTCCCAGCAATATTTTTGTAATTGAATCAACTTATCTGAAGACGGTTTGGGGTAACACCAAGCAGCATGAGATAACTAGGATATAGTCAACATCATTTCTCTTTCACAGTGATAAAAGTTCCTCTGGATTTACGAAACCAGATTGAACAACTGTCTTCATGATACTAATGAGGGTGAAACAAGCAAGGGCTGCTCTTTTTCAATGATTTATTATTTGCATATATTGCAAAATGATCATCACCTAAGTCTAGTTAACATCTGTCACCATACATAGTCACAAAATTCTTTGCTTTTGTTGAGAATTTTTAAGATCTAATCTTGGCAACTTTTAAATATCCAATATAGTATTATTAACTACAGTCAATATGCTGTACATACATCTCTATGACTTATTTATTTTATAACTGTCAGTTTGTACTTTTTGACCCCCTTCACCCATTTTGCCCACCCCCTACCCCTGCCTCTGGCAACCACCAATTTGTTGCCTGCATCTATGAGCTTTTCTTTTTTTTAGATTCCATATATAAGTGAGATCATATAGTATTTGGCTGATTTCACTTAGCCTAATGCCCTCAAGGTGCATCCATGTTGTCACAAATGGCAAGATTTCCTTCTTCTTTATGCCTGAATAATATTCCATTGTGGGGTGTGTGTGTGTGTGTATCACATTTTCTGTATCCATTCATCCATTCATGGACACTAGGTTGTTTCTATGTCTAGGCTATTGTAAATAATTAATATGGGATCATAGGGGAGCAGATACCTTTTTTAGTTAGTGTTTTTGTTTCCTCCAGATAAATACCTAGAAGTGGAATTGCTGGATCATATGGTAGTTGTATTTTTATTTTTTGAGGAACCTCCATGCTGTTTTTCATATCTGCTTTACCAATTTGCATTCCCACCAACAGTGCACAAGTTTTCCCTTCTCTTGACATCATCTCCAACACTTGTTAGTTCTTGTCTTTTTGATAATATCCATTCTAACAGGTGTGAGGTATTATCTCATTGCGGTTTTGATTTGTATTTCCCTGATAATCAGTGATGTTGAGCACCTTTTCATGTACCTGTTGGCCATCTGTACATCTTTGGAAACATGTCCATTCAGATCCTCTGCCCATTGTTTAATCAGATCACTTTGGGGTTTTTTTTATTTTTACTATTGTATGAGTTCTTTATATATTTGGGATATTAACCCCTTATCAGATATATGATTTGCAAATATTTTCCCCCATTTGGTCAGTTTGGTATCGACTCTGATGTCAGTTTCCCCACATTAAACCAAGCATATATGGGGTTAAAACCAAAACACTCATTCCCTGCTTACTCTCTGGCTTCCTGGCTCCAGAATCCACTATCCTCCATGGAGACAGACACTGTCAAGGACAAGCACCTGGATTATCTCCTCCCCACAAAGAGATACAGACTGGTGGGAAAGCTGCTGACCAGCAAGGTCACAGGCTTCCTCCTCTCTGCAAGTGTCTCAAGGCCAAAGACAGGCTGGTGAGAAAGCTCCAACTAGCAAGGCCATATGCTCCCCCTCCCCTACCTAAAACCCCAAATAAAAACCCTTCCTTTTAGCTTTTCGGGGAGTTTGGGATTTGAGCGTTACCTCCCCTCTCTCCTTGCTCAGCACTGTGCAAAAATAAAATTCCTACTTTCTTCCACCACACCTGGTGTCAAAGATTGGCTTGCTGTGCAACAGGTGAGCGAACTCACTTCAGGTTCAGTAACAGGTTCTCTTTTCAATTTGTTAATGGTTTCCTTTGCTGTGCAGAAGCTTTTCAGTTTTATTATAAAATGTGTCATGAGATTAACCATTCTCTATTTTCTGACAAGTCATGAAAACTTTATATCAAGTTATAAAATTAGAACAAGTACAAAATTAAACAATTAACTTTCATGCAAAAAATATATAGTACCCAAAGCATAAAATATACAGTCTTTAACACTCTAAGGAAATATAAGTGGTGAAAAAGACAACGAACCAAAAAGATGAAGTCCCAGTTGCTGCTCTTGACATTTCACACACCTGAATAAATAAACACAAAGAAACAGAACTCACTTTGCTGGGCGGAGGATTATTATCTATGCATGCATTCTCTCTTTGTTCCAGATTTTTTCCACCATAATTTTATGTTTAAATTGTTCACATGTGCTGTCAATATATGACTGTAATTATGGTTTTAAAAGAAAGGCAGTTCCATGTTTCTTCCCTTTTCTAAGCAAGATAAGTATATTTCCTAGGAATATAAATTGCCACGACTTTTAGAGTTAGAAATTCTTCAAAGAACAATTAAGTCTTTACTGAAATAGAAGATAGGTTTAGAGGCAATTGCAGTTCTCCATCTCAGTGCTTCCAATCAGAATTAAAAAATGGGCTTAACCGTTTCCCAAGGTCAATACCTCAGATTCAAAGATGTCAGGCTGTGTATTTAATATTTATATTTAATATATATTTAATATAGTAATATGTATTTAATATATTTATTTTAATTTTTAATATATTTTGTTTAATATTTATATTTAATATATATTTAAATATTAATTTTTAAATATATGTGTTGACATATTTTAAATTTATATATATTAAATATATAAATATATTTGAATATATATTTAAATATATTCAGCAATATAAGCAGCCTTGTAAACTTGAAGTTATTCATGTGAATCAAATGTTTATTTTCTCCACATAATCGAAAATAGGAAAAACCACATGGTTATGATATTAAAGGTGATGTACTTTTAAGTAAAAACTTAAAGCATTTCCCCATTATCTTATTTCTTTTATAGAAATAATGAGCAGAAAAACAAAATGTTATTTAATGTTCTTAAAGCAAGGTAATTAAAAACTCCTGTAGCTCTAAACTATTATGTGGTTCAAAATCATTGCTTTTAGAGTACTATTTCATATTTACACTGGTGCTCTGCTTTACATCTTCCTTTCTATTCCTGTAGCAGAGGTGTTGAGCTGTGGTTTTGTCTTTCTGACGCGGCTGTGAATACTGTGTTGTAAATTGCATGTGTTGCATGTGAATACTGTGTTGTAAGCTTATGGAACGTTTTCTTAGAGGAAAAGACCAGCAGTGGTGGCCTCCTGGTGATCAGAGGGTTGTTGAAAACTTACGAAGTTTCTCATGAGTCACAGTGGGGACAAGTTCTGTTCTCAACCCGACTGATGTCTCTTAGTCTCACAAGATGGCCATGGAAGAGAGAAGAGACACATAAACAAACGCGCACACACACACATCTGGGCACAACACTGACCTTATACAAAAGCAACAAAATACCCCAAATGTTAGAGGTCAAGTTTCAGAGATACATGAAGTTAAAAGAGCAGAAACCCACCAGTAGATTGGAGTCAGAGAGATGGGGGAATGAGTCCCATTTTCCCAACTTCCTGTATAGCTGGAGCAAATACTTAAAATTCAGGACCTTCATCTTTAAAATAGGAATAATATGTATGCCATAGAAGAGCAAGACCTGCCAATAAGACATTGTATTAGCAGAGCACTTGACATATGAGACACACTGAGAAAAGGTGCACAGTATCCAGAGACCCCTAGTCAAGACTGAAGCCTGAGGACGGTTCTGAATTGTGGACGTGATATGATCAGAATCATGCAGTGTCTGGCTGCCCGAGAATAAGGCTTTTTCCACTTGAGCCCTGCTCTAAGGGCAGGAGGCCACTTTGGGACCTCTCAAACTCGAAGAAATGAATTTTTGGCAGCAGTCTTATCCTTAGCTGTTGTCACTATTATACCTGATCATTATTCTTTTTTAGCCTTCAAAGCCTTCAGAGTTCTCAGGTTTCCTGTCTCCAGCATGGATCCATACATTCTCATAATATCTAAGAAAGGGATTTTTTTAAGCCTCAAGAAGGGGCTCCAAAAAAACAAGGCAATAATCTCTTCTATCCCGTGATGTTATATTTTTTTTCTTGAGAATAATGTAGAGAACCTGCTAGGTGATCAGCAACATTTACATGGCTACAAAACCCTCACTTGTCAAAGAGGTGCTTCTGGGTCACTCTCTATACCATCTTCTGGAATAACAATGGTGACTCACAGGGCCTACACTCAGATCTGGTGTAGAAGATTTAATCTAGGGACTGATGCTGCCATATAAATGGACCAGCATCACAGGAGCCAGTAGACAATAAAATACAATACAAAAAAATAACCTAGGCTTTAATGACCTGAACTAGGTATTTCATTCCCTCCCACTGGGGCTCTTTGAAGTTCAACTTCTTTAAGGTCATCTAATGCCATTTGATCCCTGACAAGGCCAATCTGATTGTTGGAGAATCAAGCAGAATGACAGGATATCAGTGAGCAGTTTATTGACAGTCTCTGGAGGCAGCTTTCCTGAGTTCAAATCCAGGTTCTGCCACTTCTCAGCTGGTGAGCCTGGCCTAGTTATTCACCTCTCAGTGTCTCTGTGCTATCATCTGTAAAATGGGGATGATAATTGTACCTTCTTCACAGAATACTCATGTGAATTGAGTTAATATTTGTGAATGCATAGGGTATGCCTAATACGCAGCAGGAACTGTGTGTTTGATTAATAAATGACATAGAATAAATAAATCCACCACGGGCTTGGTATTGTGGTTGGTATTGGAATCCCAGGACAGAAACTACATCTCATGTTGTCTTTCCCTTTTCAGGGACCTTGGGGGATTCTAAAGAGATAACTATTTTTTTCTAGCCTTATTCTTTCATTTGAGTAGGAAATTATTTTCCCCACTTTATAGAAGAATCAATTGAGATTCAGGAAGTTTAAATTACTTACTAAAAGTGAAAAAAGAAAAAAGAAACTTAGTGAGAAGAGATGAAATTAGCAATGATGAAAATTTTTCCTAAACATGCTGTGAGACAGAACTCTTTTGCAAGATGCAAGTCACAATCACTCCTGAAAAATAATTAGAATTATTGATAAAACTCTTGAGCAGTTTTCTAATAGACTTTCATAATAGTTGAAGACCCTTTCTGGGAATGTAGGGTTACCCACTCTGACAGCTGAACTTGCCCACATCTTTAATTCATTTTGTGACTAGCCTAATAATCTCTACCCAGACAGTCCTTCGCTGCATGGTC